CTCTTCCAGCAGGTGATCCCTGTCTCGAGGGCGAGGAGGAAGGGAAGGGTCTCTCCTGTGAACACCAAAAACCCTGGTGTCAACGCCAGTCATGGCGAGCAACCCAAGGGACGCGAGTGTTGGCAGTCTCCTGTCCACAGCGGGACCAGTCTCAGCCCTGGCTGTCCAGATTGTCTGCTGTACCAGGGGCTTTGATGCTCTCGTGCATTGCTCATGCATCTCTGAAACACCACTAGCAATAACAACCTCTCCACACAGGGCTGACATTTGGGCATTGGCCCCATTAATGGCCTTGGAGATGTAAATGATACTTTTACAGCTACGAGGCAAAACCCATATAGCTTAAGGACCCGGACTTATATTTCAGAGGTTTCAAGGTATTTCTGTAACATATCATCATTGCAATCCTCATTTTTGCCTCTTCCTATTTCATTTTAAGTAAAGGTAAAACCAAACAGACCCAGTGACCACGTCTGGAGACACCCCAGTGGATACGGTGATGCTCAGGCAGAGCATCCATAGGAACATGCACCAGCAGAGAGCGGGCAGAAGGAGAGCTCACATCAAGTACAGCCACGCTTCTCTTTGGTTTTCCTTTGTCTTATTTACACCTGCCCACTGGAAAGTGGTCTGAAATCCTAATCCTAATCCTTACAGCTACACCCTCCCCATCCACCTGCTGAAATGAGCCAGGGGCACAAATACGCTCGGTGAAACTCCGTATAAATAAAGAAGAGAGGAAGGATGTTGCAAGGATCTGAAACTGGCAGGTACAGAATGAAGCTCAATTTAGATAGGCACCGTCTGGAGTTTGAGGGAAACTAAAGTCATCGGTTTTTTTTGTTTTTTTTTTTAAAGCCAGAGAGAGATTTAATTACTGCAGAAATTTGGGCTTGCATGTTATCCAGAAAATGAAGCTTGTTTTATGTCTTAGTTTAACCTGAATGACATATTTTTATGCTCTCAGTGCTTTCATCACGCAGTTTAGCTAAACCCTGTAGCTTAATGATGAAGAAAAATACCCAGGTAGTCATTTGGGAAAGAAGTCATACACATTTTGTCTTGATCTCTGCTTTTAGACTGCTATAAATAAAAGTTCTGATGTAAAAATAATTTTTAAAAAAGAAAGAAGAAGAGAAGAGACTTCAGCTACCCTACTGGATCAATACACAAAATGCAAAGATGACAGTTTAATGACTGAAGTGCACCTAAAGATACTCTGCAACAAATTTTACGGCCATATGGGCTGCAATGATGTTCTGCAGCTGGCTTATGTCTGTGTGTACCAAGAGCTGCTTTACATTTGTCTGTGCAATTAAGGTTTTAAAATAGACATAACCTTTGGCAGCCATAAAGTACCAACAAGATCTGAACATTTAATTTCAATCTCTTCTTGACAAAAACTCTAGATGTCAAAATGACCAGCTGAGGCTGTGTGAGCTCTCTTCTACTTGTGACAGCAGAAGTCACTGGTTGAAAATTAGGTATGTCCATAATCTACTTTTTGCCCTTCAGTTTTCAAAAGTGTCTTGTTTCTAACAAACCATCCTTAAAAAAAAAAAAAAAAAAGGAAAAAGAAAAAGAAAGATAATGTTTTAGAGGAAAATGGTTGTATGAAAATGTAAGTTTGGTGAAGTCCACTGGTGTACAGTTTACCCTCCATAGTCAATCTCAAGACTTAGGCTCGAGGTCTGGTTATGGCAGCTTGTCAAATTACGTGATCATGACCATGATTGTGGACTGCTGTACATGCAGAATAGGACACCTTAACTCAAGGCACTCTTAGATAAACAAGTCCTACCACATTGCATTTCTGAGGAACGCAGCGAGTGACGTGCACCATGGCTCTGCAGGAGTACAGCAATGCAAGAGCGATGGCTCGATTTGAGCCTGAGCCCTGCTAAGGAGTTGCAAAGGACTGGAACATACCATTTCTGAAGCTTTATTCCCTTAGCCTCTCTGCCTTTTCAACTGCCTTGCAGCCAGTTTGCTCCTGAGGAGTCCCAGGGGATTCTCCTTGGACTCTTCACAGGTACTGAGCCGGTCCAGTGACTCCCATGGCCAGAAGAGATGGGTGTTGCTCTCCCATCCCTCTCTCCTGCTCTTTTTCTCCAGTCCCAGTCACTCAGTCCCATTTTTGCGTCCAGATCAGCACGGTGGGGAGAGCTGAGATGGCAGCGAAGAAAAAGAAACACACAAAAACCTGGAAACCAGTGGTGACTCATCAGACTAACGAGAAGGTCTGCTGTCACAATTACTGTCTCAAGCCCCTCGTGAAGGGCTGGAGCCTGCAGGATGCCTGTCACAGCTGGCGCCCAAACCCGGGGGAGTTCTGAGCCTTTTCCTGTCACTGGCCTGGAAGCCCCCGCAGATGGCAGCGAAGAAAAAGAAACACACAAAAACCTGGAAACCAGTGGTGACTCATCAGACTAACGAGAAGGTCTGCTGTCACAATTACTGTCTCAAGCCCCTCGTGAAGGGCTGGAGCCTGCAGGATGCCTGTCACAGCTGGCGCCCAAACCCGGGGGAGTTCTGAGCCTTTTCCTGTCACTGGCCTGGAAGCCCCCGCCAACCGGCCAGACCCCGAGCAAGCTGTCACCGGCTTGGAGTGCATCTCTAAATGTGAACGTCTGGGAGAACGGGAGATGGCTACCTCACGTCATCTTCCGTAAATATCTTCCTCCTCGTTACAAGGCTGGGACTATCATCACCATCCACCCTCTGTCACTTTCTGTCAGTTTGAAGGTTTGTGTGCATAATCAGGGTGATAAAAGACCCTCAATCCTCTGTTGGCACCTGGAGATTTACCAAAGATTTAGATCCATCATTTATGGAAATTAACTTCTGCTACAAACCACATTGGCCTTCTAACTTAATGACAATTTTAGGTTTGATTTTGCTTGGCTTTAGTAGAACTAACATGTATTTAAGAGGTCCAAGCCACTTTGATTTATTAATGACCTCCTTCAAAAGAACTGAGAGTGTGCAATAATCTAACTCTGCAATCTTCTGCTCTAAACACATCAATTATTATTATCAGTCATAATTAAGCATTGAGTGGAGAAGCCAAGAAGGTTTTCAGATTCCAAGGATTTATACTTGGAGCGAGTCCAGAGGAGGCCACGGAGATGATGGGAGGACTGGAGCACCTCTGCTGTGGAGACCTCAGGCTGGGAGAGTTGGGGTGGTTCAGCCTGGAGAAGAGAAGGCTGCGGGGAGACCTTCGAGCCCCTTCCAGTCCCTGCAGGGGCTCCAGGAAAGCTGGAGAGGGGCTGGTGCCAAGGGCAGGGAGTGACAGGCCAAGGGGAATGGCCTGAAGCTGCAGGAGGGGAGATGGAGATGGGATGGGAGGCAGAACTCGTGCCGGGTGAGGGTGCTTAGGCCCTGGCAGAGGGTGCCCAGAGAAGCTGTGGCTGCCCCTGGCTCCCTGGCAGTGTTCAAGGCCAGGTTGGATGGGGCTTTGGGCAACCTGGGCTAGTGGAGGGTGTCCCTGCCCATGGCAGGGGTGGCACTGGGTGGGCTGGGAGGTCCCTTCCAACCTTCTAGGATTCTGTGATTCTGTGATTCTAAGATTCTATGATTTGACAATTCTGTGATTTGATGGTTCGATGATTCTAAGATTATACCCTAAAAGTACTTTACAGCAGTTGCTCCTCCCATGTCAGGATGCTTTCTGTAGGCAGAGCCATCTCCTGTGGCTCAGGGCCAACGCAGATGAGGTGCTCTATTCTCCAGCTGAAGTGCTAAAGAGGTTTAGACAGCCAGGAGGAACTGGCTGTATCAAAAGACATCCCAAACCCTGAGCTTAGGTGCTGATGGGGTGTTCAAGGGAAAGTGTGTCAGCAACTGAAAGAATAAAACGAAGTGGGGAAGCAGGATCATTTGGCTCAATCTACAGCCTGGGTCCGAAGACTGAGGCTAGCAGAGATGATGGGAGCTGGATGGAGGTGGGAAAAGGAGAGATAAGAGGTAGGTGAAGGCAATCTGGGTCATGCGGCTCGCATTTTATCAAGTAAGAGAAAAATGAAAGTGCCTCTGTATGACCGCCCCAGCCTCTCTCCTGCCCTTCACAAGTGTCACTGGAGAGGTACAGAGGTTTCTGCAGGCCCCAGTGCCGCTGGCTGGCATATTGACATCCCTCTTTTGGAAATGTCTTCAGGAGAGGCAAAACCAGGGCTTGGCACAGGCCATTGGAGAGCGTGCTTGAACTTGTATTGAACAGAGCCCCACTGAAAACACTGTTCTGTGAACAGGCTGTGGTTCCCAAAGTCTGCAGTTTTACAGCCCCTCACCAAAATAATCCATCCCTCTTCCTGTCCCTGTGTCCTGTCACCTTTCCCACCCCTCCTGCTGGGATGCCGTGAGCTCCCCGCAGTGCCCCAGTGATGCAGCCCTGAAATCCGCTCCACCAGCCCAGCGGCAGCAAGCCCAGGGTAGCTGCAAGGTGTGCTTGCGCTTCTGTGTGCTGCTGGCCATAAGACCAAATAAAATGAAATAAAATTAAATAAATGACCCTCACTTCACAGTGAAGATCAGCAATGACACTTGTCTGCAGCTTTACGTGGCTACTGATTCTCTTGAAACTTGCAGGAAATTCAAAACTTTGAGCAATAAGCCTCCATCAAATCTGTCTGAAACGCTCAATGAATTTAAAAATTGTTAAAGGCAGAGCAACTTCACTTTCCTCGAAAAGCAGACTATCGGCAATGGAGGCACACTTGCAGGGAACTATTGCACACAGGGAGAAAAAATGTTCCAATGGGGCAAATACTTCTGGATGCTGTACTTCCTGGATTTTCTTTGTTTATTTTTGCTACTACTGAGCGTGCTTTAATTAAAATTAAAAAGTGAGCATTTTGCTTCTAGCAAATAACTTCATTGTTCTGCCAGCGAGACTATGAGCATGTCCTAACAGATCTTTCTAGTGGCACAACTGGTTTTCAACTTTGGGAAACCAAGTTTAAG